ATAATACATATAGAAACACACATGATTCCCACAGTAACCCACTAGGATGAATCTCTATATCATTCTTTTGGGTTTCTCCTTTCCTAAAACTTAGAATAAAATCAAAGGGAGAAGAAGTGACAAAAATGTGTCTATGTGGTGTTTTGTGTTTTGAAAATTTAAGTAAAAATCTTGAAGACCAATTTCCTGGTTGTTATAAAGACAAAATAGGTTGGTGTGTACCTGTGAAAGATTTTAAAGCTGCTTTGTTAATTGTGGTATTGATTTGCACAACATCTATATATAAAAGAAAGTGTGTATTGCCCGGCCAGCGTGGCTCAGTGGTTGAGCATTGACCAATGAACCAGGAGGTCATGGTTCCATCAGGGCACATGCCCAGGTGTCAGGCTCGATCCCCAGTGTGGGGTGTGCAGGAGGCAGTCAACCAGTGGTTCTCTCTCATCATGGATGTTTCTAGCTCTCTATCCCTCTCCCTTCCTCTCTGAAATCAATATAAATATATTTAAATAAAAAAAATAAAAGAAAGTGTAATATTCAGGCCAAAAAAAAAAGTGGGGTGGGGTGGCTTTCTTGGAAATGGAGTCCATAGAAGCAGAAGGGCCTGGAGAAGCTGGGAGTCCAGCCCTCCTGGGCCTGGTTGGGACCCTGAGAGTCAGGCGGGCTCTGTGGCTAGTGCGTTGTCACCCTTCACAACAGAACCTGTGCTCAGAAGCAGATTTCTAGATTTCACCCCAGAGTTCCTCCTCCCATAGGAAGTACTCTCCTCCCTTAAGGATCCTACATTCTCGGGGAAAATGAGATTTGAGGTTCTGTGTAACTACCTCAGCTCTCTAATGTGCTTTGTCCTGGAAGCACTGTCAGTCTGTTTAAAATAATAGTCGTGAAAACAAATTGTGCATAAAACTAGACCTATAAAGTAACCGTTAAGTTGCATTCCCCAACAGTTATGCATAATGCAATCCCGAATATTTGTAAGCCTTATCCTAATCTATTTCTATATAAAGGAAAAGATCTTTTGATATCTATGCTTCTGATAGAATATAAGCCATGGCATTGATTCATTCTTCTTTGTCAAGATTGAAAATGAAAGAAATACTTAGGAGAAATACAGAAACTATCTCAACTAAGTAACTTTAGTTTATCTTATGCCTTGTTGGAACCAATTCTTAAAATTTGCCACATTTGCTTCCGGAGATAAAAATGGACCGCAAACAATTTCCATTCCTGTATTGGGTAAAATAAAGTAAAAAAAAACTATTGCAAAAAATTATCAGTTTTCCAATTAAATTATCATTATTTATAAAAAGAATGTCTTTAGAAACTGTGTCTCTTAGCACACATTTTATTTAAGTTTAAAAATAGATACTACTTTCAAATTACGCAATTTGGCCACTACAGTGATATAATCTATCAACTTTTTTCAAAAAGTGCATTATGACATTAATACACTTAGTATTTATAAATAGATTATAGCAATATAAGTGTTCTTTAGTTTGAAATTTCATTGAGATTCAGTATTGATTTCATATCTATATGTGGTAATGAATTAAATGTAATAAGCTTTATTTAAAATCCTTTGAACGTTTTAAAGTTCCTAGTTTATTCTTAGTATTTTTTAAAACTTTGGTTCTAGGTGGCATGTGTATACATTTTCAGATACTGTGGATTATTACTGAGTCTCAAAGGGCATTTCCACAAACACAGCAAATGCAAAGTGTTGTCTATACACGTGTATAGATAGTATAATAATTTTTGTCGATTTTGAAGATCAGATTGTCTTACTTAGCTCTCAGTATTAACCACATATAACAGAACTCAGACCTCGAAAAATTTAGGTAGTCACTTATTTGTTGTGTAAATAATACAAATATTAGCAATACACTGGCTCTATTGTCAAACTGCACTCAACAAAACCCAAGTAAGAATATTTGGAAAAATTTGAAATTTCATAATGGCCCTTTTTTAGTTTATAGTGTTTTTGGATGAATTAAAATATTTTCTCCATGTAAAAAGCTTGTAATAAATACTCATGCAAAATGTTTTGTAGGTTGAAATTTAAGAGTTATAAGTCATGATTTAAAGTGCAGTAGGTAGGAGTAAAATCTCAAAAGATTTTTAAAAATTGAACTACCAAACTCTTTGTTTCAAACCTATTTAACATTTATGGTTATAGGTGTTTGTAGCAACCAATAACTGAAGGAAATAGCTAAATACAATAGTAATAAAGTCCTTAAGTATTGCCATTTTTATGTTTTCTCTTTTAATTAAAATACTGACCAGAAAAATAAATTTTCTTTCAAATAGTGAGTGCAGTCAGTGTGCAGCTTACACCGCTCTGGCGTTGTGAGAGCAAGAGCGTCATTTGTCTTCTCTGAGATGCAACAGCAGCTGAAACCACATTATTGAAAAGCTGGTGAATAATCACCGTGGCCTGCAACTGTCTTCTATGTTCTCACTCCTTGTCTGTCCTCTATAAACACGCAGAACATTCCCCAATGTGCCCATGCTTCCACCTACACATAAAAACATGTCTATGTTTATACTTGAAAATTTACCATTACTGAGGTGGAACATAATAAGAAATGATATTATAGGTCTTGGAATTTTCCATCCATCAAAATACCACTTCATCATTGCTCCCTTTTGCCTGGACAGTCACTGACAGTCTGTTCTGGTTCTAGATTGACATGTGGTGGCACCAAGAACCACACCCTTCCAGGGCAGTGACGCAAGGACCACACCCTTCCAGGGCAGTGACACCATGAGCCACACCCTTCCAGGGCAGTGACACCATGAGCCACACCCTTCCAGGGCAGTGACACCATGAGCCACACCCTTCCAGGGCAGTGACACCATGAGCCACACCCTTCCAGGGCAGTGACACCATGAGCCACACCCTTCCAGGGCAGTGACACCATGAGCCACACCCTTCCAGGGCAGTGACACCATGAGCCACACCCTTCCAGGGCAGTGACACCATGAGCCACACCCTTCCAGGGCAGTGACGCCATGAACCACACCCTTCCAGGGCACTGACGCCATGAACCACACCCTTCTAGGGCTCACAGTGGACCTGGGGAGACATCCTGGCCCCAGGACATGATTACTCATTTGGAAATGTCTGTCGTCAGGATCATCTGTCCAACACGTTTCCTTTTTTGTATTCACATTAGAGGTTGTCAGGATGCTCCATGGATCCTTAACCCGAATACCACCACTCCCCGCAGTTCTCTTCCAAGCAAAACTATCAGACACGACTCAGACCCACGCGCAACACAGCCAGCCACTTCTTTCAAGACGCAGTTTCCATCAAGCTCCTTACCTGAGACTCGGCCGTCAACTGTCAACCAAGATGGTTTCTTACACCTGTTAGTGGATGTCTCAGGATAAATTCGCGTGCTCACAGACATTATATGAACTTCCGTGGGAAATCTAAAACCTTCCACTTAGGCCGGAAAGCGTGCTCATAACAATGCGAGGACTTTGGCAGACGTCGCGGAGGTAAACATGGCAAACAAAAGCAATTTTGAGACATGGTCTCCAGTCCCCGCCATCAAGCGTTAAGACTGTCAAATGAATGGTCTATGCTGAATCGATATGCTTTTCTCAAGTAAGAAATTCCATCAACTTTATGGCGCAAACCAAATTTTAGAAAAGGGATGCATGCTGTGCTGGTATTTGTACATCGACTGGAAGCCAGTCCCTCGGTGAAGAGTACTTAAAGTCGGGATCTCACGGGAAGAGCGCACACAGTCATTCCTTCTTCAGTGGTGTCTGTGAGTATGGACAGGCAAAATGGGTCCCGGTGATGGGGATGTAATTTAAAAATCCTATTTTCCGAGGGGGAAAGGCTGCCTTACAACAATCAACCACAGTTGTTTCTATCTAATAAACTTTAAGGGTGGTTGTTTTTTCGCTTTTTTTAACCCCCTTTTCTTATCTAGATAGGCCCAGTGTGGTAAAAAAAACTATTTTTTTTTCCTTTTCAAATTTAAATAGGAAACAACTCTGTCAGACTGACACCTAATGAAAACTTTCATAAGAAAATAATTCTGCAAAGGAAAGAGCAATGCATTCAGTCTTTGAACCACGGAATCCACGTTTTGGCGACCACGAGATTTCATCCCTGGCCTCCCCAAGTCAGCCTCTGAATATTAACAGTATTCATTGAGGAAGCAATTGCAGTCAGAAGCCCAAGTAGCCGTGGCAGAGAACGGCGTGAAACAGCCTTTGCCTTTTTAAAACAGTTCTTCCTTATTCTCTCAACAAAGGCTGGAACGTGACACCCTTCATTTCTCATAAGCTCCACCCCAGGCCCCAGCTCAGCTCACTCTGCCATCTGCATCTTACCCACTTACTTAGCCAACCAACCAACTTGAGACTGACTGTCAAGTCGTCACCTCGTTACCAGATCATGTAGCTTCTCTCTACTTTCTACATTTCCCAATAAGACAATGCCACCAGTTGATACACTGAATGTTGTCAAATAGGAACAAGCGCGATATTTAAAAGCCCTCCATCACCGACCAGTGGGTCCCTAGGGAAAGAGAAAGCCATTCGTGGAAGGAACAGTGAGGGCAAGAACAACAGTTACATAGTCTCGCTAGAGGCAGAACGCCCAGTGCGAAGATCACACGTGTTCTTTCTCCTACTTGAACTGATTCTGAAATGGACTCGCCCTAGGCGTGTCCAGAAGGGGCCCCGCGCCTTCCCGACACACGGAGCGCACAAGCTGTCCGTGTAGATGCCCTGAGTCTCTGTGGGATCCGATGCGGTGAGGTGGATGGCCATAGGGCCAGGGAGGGTTGGACTCCTCACTGGGAATCCAGGCTACTGAAGACAAGACGCTATCTAACCGGGAAGGCTGGGCCAGGTGCCTGCTTCCTTGGGCGCACAGGCTCTCGGTATTTCCAGGGTGAGAGCTGCCCTTAGGGACCAGAACCCAGTGGGGTCCAGGCACCCCGCCGAGAAGGGAAACCATGTTTGGGGCTTAGCTCAGCTCAGAGCTGGTCCGGGAGCGCCTCAAAGGAGAGCACCGGGCTTCGCATTTTCCCCTGCAGCTTGGACTTCTGAGGAATTGTCTTCCCAGCCCGTGCGCAACCAGCAGCCATGAGGCAGGGGAGGAAGGCGATGTGGTGTCCCAGGAGGTGCTGGCCGAGCCTCCTGGAACCTGGGGGCGCCTTCTCGTCCCCAGCCCTTTCTCCTCCCTCCTTCGGAGCCACCTCCACTGGGAAGAGGAAAGGCGAGTAGCCAGACCGGGGGTTCGCTGCCCTCCAAGGCTGAGAGCTGGAGCCTCCGGGGCGCGCACATGCGGTGCCTGCCAGGGCGGATCCCCTCTCCAGCTCCATCCCGAGCGGCTCCCCTCCAGCCACGCCCGCTAGTCCCCGGCACCGCCTGGGTGCACTGGAGGGGCTGCGTGGATGGCTCCTTGCTCTCAGCTAAGAAGGGACAAATCCATTTGGTTTGGGCGTCCGTCGGCATTGGAAACAAACCACAGCTGAAAGTGGAAGGAGAGACGGCTCCCTCTTCCTCTCGCCCATGTGCTGATGTTGGAGACTCATCCCCGGGGCGCAGGCGCAGGCAGGGAACACGGCGCGGGGACCTGTCACACAGAAACTGGAAGACAGAGCAGCCCCCGCCGGGCCCCAGCCCCTGTCAGGAAGGTTCCAGTCCCGGGCCACACCGCAACCGATCTGGTGCCCAGCCTGCTTCTCCACCCCTTCACGAAGGATCCGCAAAGAAAGTCTGGGTTCCTGGGAGAACCACCACCGCACTTCCAATCTGGAGCCTCCGTGGGGACCCCGGGCCCCCGCCCCGCCCCCGCCAGCAGCCATGTCTGGCT